CGATTTTCTCGAAATTGGTACCAAAATTTCGCATATTATCGAAAATCGCTACTATGTTTTTTTTTTTAGTTTTACACTACTACATACGCATCCACCCACGCATACATATATTTATTGATTAATTTTCGCGAAATTAAATATCTACTTATATTTATATATACAAGTTGCAAATTTTTTGGGGAGTGTGATGAGATGATGATTTTTTAATTTAAAAATTTTTTTTAACATAGAGGAGAGAATGTTTCCGCGAAAAAATTTTTTGCAGATTTCTATGCCAATGTGTTCGAAATGTTCCAAAATATCGAGAAATCACATTTAAAAAAAATTCGTATGTAAAACTTCTACCCACGCACTCACACATATATTGATTTATTTTCGGTACCAAATTCATGAAAATTTTTGGGGTGACGACGACAAACAGACGGACAGATGGACAGACAAAGAGATAGATATTAAATAAAGTATAACTAAATATTATATATCTTTGGTTTTGTAAAATAAAAAATTGTGTGAAAACTAGTAAAAGCGGAATCAGTGTTGGGTAAAGGCTTTGAGGCCCGCGTGAAGAGCGAACCGAAAAGCTAGTATAATAATATCAGATAAAATGATGTTAAAATATAAAGAAAGTTTTCATACTTTACATTATATTCATATGAATGTATATATTTGAAAAAGTATGTTTAAAAAACAGTTTAATATATTGTATACATATGTATATATTGTTTAATATTGTATACATATGTATATATTGTTAAAAAAAATTTATACATTTTGTAAAAATAATTTCATATACAAAAATCTTTCTATATAAATGCTTAAGTATGTTATCGTTTCCCAGAAAGTGGGAGGTGATAGCATTAAAATTATTTAAAATAACCTTATTGACAGTATTCATTGCAAGCAATGTAGTAAGAGCTTTGTTAAACCAAGAAGCCGATCGAAACGGATTGTTCAAATTATATAACCATTACTGTGTCACTTTATGTCCTACTAATTGAGTTACTTCGATTTTGTGAGCAACAGGATACAAATTTTTATCGTAAACAATATCCATTTCGCTGAAAGTAATATTTAAATGTTCGACTGAGAACTCTTGTACATAATAAAATTTCAATTAGCAAATTGGTATTGTAAATCGTAACAAATAATATTTTTTGAAATTTTTAATTTAAGTATAAAACAATGATTTTGTGTTAATGCGTAAATCATTGATGAAGAACTTTAGTTTTAATAAATAAAAAAATGTTATTTCTTTTATAGCTTTATTACAATTATAAAATTTACCTTAGGGGATTATACAATATAGTATAAAAATTTTTACCTTTATGTATGTATATATTAGAACAATAAACTACAACATTTCGAATTATAGTACGAATAAACTTAATTTTTACTACTTAAAATTGTTGTTTTCACAATATCTTATACTTTTGCACATTTACAGAAACAAAAGATATACCTACATGTTCTTCAATTCTATAATTTTGCATACTAATATATAATTTTACTTTTAATGTAATTTTAAGTACTTGTACTCACTTATAAAAAACAAGTCCGAAAACTATTATGCCATTATTAGGGAAATTTGACATTGCAACATGAGTCACTTTCGAAATATTGTTTGACTGTTGTTTCCATGTATTTTTATAGAACAACGTGATATTTTCAGCTACATTCTTTGCAAATTCCATGTGAAATACAGATTCGTTTCTGCACCACATTTGAATATGTTGCGTATTATTATTAACACGTGATAAGTAATTGGATATAATTATTGTTGCAAGATACGGCGACATTGCAGGTGTGGTATCGAAATGTGTCCATAAAATATTGTTATACTTATTTTTTTCCGTATTTTGCAATGGCATATTTGACAATGCCGTGCATTGATCATGACATCCTACAGATATGTTAAAGGTTGCTTTTAAGAATAAATATTTTTCATCCCAACACGTACTCATTATATACCGGGTGCCTATTATATAAAAATGTGTAGCAGCTACGAAACTATACATTTCAAAGAACATAAATTAATAAAACATTTTTAGCAAGCATCAAAATGTTGGAATTTAAAAATGTTTAAATGTAATAATATGTATTAAAGATATAAAATAATCGTCTTTATATATAAATTGCATAATATATAATAATTTTTGAAACATTTAATACAAAAATAATATATATTAATTACGAGGTTGCATGTAATTGCACATTGCACATTGTTTTTAATACACATATATTACTTACTTACGCAGTTTTTTTTTGCATATCGAAAATTCTAAAGACTTTATCAGTAAAACCAAAGTATTTAATATATAAAGTGTAATTTCCTGGTAATAATTCATACTTAAAAGAAAGGTCAATTATGTCTTCTTGAATATCATATGTCGGTTTATAGAATGTATATTTAATATTCTCATGATGTTTTTCTAAATTTTTAATTAAAACTATATTTTTAAAACATAATTTTTCTGAATATATGTTGTTAATTAATATATTTTGAGTTTTGTTAAGAATGCTTATGCTAATATTGTATTCTCCATAGAAAATATTTCCTTCAATATATGATATATGCTTAATATGGTAATGGATGGGTTTTATATATTCTGATGGTTGATAGCATAAAGACGATTGATTAGGAGTAGAAGCCGTCCCAACGATATACATTATTCCGCTAATTAATAGTAGAAATATCATCGTGTCGAATAATTTATTTTAGGTCTGTAAAACACACTGTAAACAAATGACAAATAGAGAAATTAAATATAGTATTGATGTCTTTTTTAAATCACTAGACGACACAAGAGCACGCTTGGCGCACGCTTTTGATATTATTTCTATTATTCATTTTACAATTGTTAAATTGTTAATTTTTGCGATGACAGTTGCTTGATAATATAAAAATGATCATAATTTTAATTAGCCGAATTATTATTTTGACTTATATTTTGTATATATACTGATAGTAGAATACTAATACGTTTGAGAAATACAACTAAATAATAAGTAAAAATTAAATTTTAATAATTTTTAATTTTAATATATTTGACAGGATAATTAATTTTAACGACCATTACTGTCTAATAAATATTTAATCATCACTACCCAACGTTTCGACCATGGGTTTTGGTCCTTCTCAAGTGTACTTAAAATTAAAAACTGTGAACATATTATTCGAATGAAACTTCTTGTCAAATCGTGATAAAATAATAGCCAAGGATTATCCAATTTTTAATATATTGACATCACAAATAAGTATTAAAATACACACAGATATTTTTTACGAGAAATTTTGGAAACAGAATTTTAATAATCTAGTAATAAAAGGACAATTAAAAGTGTCTATTATAATATTCATTATCTGTTAATTGCAGTATTTTTTAGTTTCAAAAATTATTTATTCGACATCAAACTTTTGTGGGTTCAAGATTATTTCAACTGTTGCGATAAAATTTATATTTTATATTTTAATTTTATTTTAATATATTAAATCGAATTGAGAACGAAAGTCGGCGATCGAATATATGTATATATATGACAACGAGCGAAAGAATCATAATGAACAGGTAAAAACAAAGTATCCAAACAAGCAAAATATAACAACGGACAGCTTAACCGATATAGGCAGGAGAATTGATAACATGACATTTAGCGAATTCGCTGAAGAAAGGACAAATAGAATTATTTTATATTATCTCTGGATTAAAATTTACAAATAATTTTGAATAAAACTATTCTCTATATTCCTATACATATGTTGGAAATTCTATAAAATTACGTCCTACCGTATGATTAAATTTTCTTGCATTTGTAGACACATGTTTTATATGTATGAAAGTTGTTCTGACTTACCGAATATTTCGAAACAGAATGTTAATTGGAAAACTATATTGATTAAAACTATATATCGTTTTAAAAATAAACTGCAGCAAATTAATGCTTTAGAAGTATGCAATGTGGGAAGAATATAATATATTCACACACTTTATTAAAAGTATTATATCTACGGCTACGTGGTTCGAAAGACCACGAACGACTGACTGATTTTCTGGACGTGTCTTCATGCTAAATATGATGTGTTAAATCAACAAAACTTCTAAGGTCGTTATATACAGGATGTTCGACAACAGGTGGGCCAAAATGTAAGGAGTGATTCTACATGATAAAATAAGACGAAAATCAAGAATGACAAAATTGTGTTCGAAACTCCGTTTATTAATTATAAATATTTTACACTTTGCAAAATATACATCAACTGTTACGATGTAAGTTTTTGTATACTTATGCGTCACAGTGTATTTTGACAACGACTCTACCGATGTACCTTACGCATGCAAGATATCGGCAAATTGCCGTGCGTCAGGCGCCCTTAATGCGAAGTTTAAAATATTTATAATTAATAAACGAAGTCTCGGACGCAATTTTGTCATTCTTGATTTCCGTCTTATTTTATTATGTAGAACCACTGCTTACATTTTGGCCCACCTGTTGCCGAACACTATGTATAACTAATAATAAATTTTTATAATATCTAAATAATAAATTGTTATAAATATATATGTTTGCGTGTGTGTGTGAGTGTGTGTGTGTGTTTGTGTGTCTGTGTGTGTGTAAATATATATTTTTGTTAATTCACGTAACAAAATTGAAAACAAATCAATATATAATTTAAAATGAATAGATAAAGCACACACACAATTTAAGTGCACTTATCATTAAGCAAGTTTTATTTATATATTTATATAATACTAATTATATTTATACATATATATTATAATATTATATCTAACAGTAAAATTTATTGTAATATATAATGGCTACAATTCTGTTACTAAGCAGGTAATAATATATAGTTTAACTACTTCAAACAAGATCGCAAAAAAATGAAAATCTTGATGAATGCAGTCTTATAGTTTTGTAAACATAAAGGCATGCGATAGTAATACATCTAAATAAACAATATTTAAAGCAGTAAAAGAAATAGTACATGCATAATAAAAAATTATTCATATAAAGTACGTCCTCGTATAAAAAGCTGTAATTTTTTTTACATCCATCAATTAGAAGAAGAAACTTTCAAAATACTGTCTCTGTCTTTTAATTTGTTCCTTGCGAATATAAATCTGGTTTATAATTCCGATATATAACTCATCCGTATCTATCACACGGTCACTCATCTAAAACACATAATTTTATTAATTATAATATAATTAAATAAATATAGTAATCTCATTCCGCATTATACAAATCCTAATGTATATAAACAAAAATTGTAATAATGAAATCAACATACTGATTATATGACAAATAAGCAAGTATAAAAAAATATTCAGAAATTAATAAGATATAACAATATTTCATTTTCTTTCGCTTTCCATAATAATATACATATATTAAATTTACTTCTTTTATTCGATGTTCTTTAAATTGATCTTCTGTGTTCACGTCAGTTACGTTAGCTTTTACAATACTTTCAGAGTATATCTCTATTGCCTAAAATGTATAATTTTAACACCATTATTAATAAACAACGTTATGGTAACATTATATAAATTATTTTAAACATAAAATAATAATTATTAATATCGCATTATTATTATATTTTTACCAGAGCTAAATTTTTGGAATATACGTTATTAATCATAATAATTAATGCTGCAATTATATTAACATGTCTAAAAACAAAAAAAAACAGATGTATATATTATACATATCATAAACTTTTATACAAAATATTTATAAAAATATGTCACTTTACTTTGGTTTTATTTCGTGAAAATTATCTAATATATACGTCAATATAATTGGATTCTTCGCATGCTTCGTAATAAAATGTAAGAAAGTGTTAGCGAGAAATTGATCTTCCTGTTTTGTATAAGTGACATGTTTATAACTTAAATAATGTATGATGAAATCAGTATCTTCAATGCAAGCCAAGTATTCTGAAAATTTAATGTCAGTTGTTTCGAATCCTCTTTTATACACTATTCCAAAAGTGGACACATTTTTCGTAGTTATCATCAAACCTCTACAATATGTCCATGTCTTCCACCATGGCAAAAGTCTAAAATATAAATAGAATTTAATTTTATTATTAAAGATTGGCGTATTAACTCATTTAAATATTATAGGAGATATCTACAAGTAAATTTGATTGAGAAAAAATAAAAATATGTAACATAATTTACCTGTGTTTTATAGAATCGTGGAGATGTTGTTTTAATTTATTGTTGGCTTCTTCCATACAAGTGATGTCACCGAAAAAACATGCCCATTTTGCAGCTTCTTGTCGTAAACATATTCTAAGTTCGTCTGCATCATCAATTTCTTCATATTTGATTCTTGCAAGTAAGTTGCTTAATATGAATTTTAGCTTATCTATTCTATCCTAAAAATCATTAAATATATATTTCTTTAATATGTTTATAATTATAATTCATCGACAAAGATTTTAAGCATCCAGCTATGTATCCAATAACAATGTTATATATTAATATTATTCACAGTAGTGAAAATCATACACTTTGGGAACTGTTCATGGCGTGAGTGATTATTCAAACTGAATTAGTTTGCACATTTATGTGAGACGTAATAATATGTAAAACTTTATCGCTAGATATATTTTTCTATAAATATTTAAATTATTTGTGATCAATTAGTGTATATATAAATGTTTAAATGTAATACTTTCATTGAAAATGATTAATATTTACCGCAAATTTTTCAGTTGTTTCTTCCACTGGAAAAGTACTAAACATGTATTCCAGAGCTTTAATCATAGGATACCATGCGATATAATCTTCTTCTCGAAACAAATACGATGTGATATGCCAGAATATAGAGACTTTGAGTTGGCCTGCTATCATTAAATGAAATGCATCATCGATAATTTGGGCACGATTAAGAACATGAATTGTCGTAAAATCATCATAGTATAGATAATCTGAAATTCTTCGCCAATTCTCATCATCATAGTTAACGCGGTAATATCCTGTCGAATAATAAATAAATTTTAACAATTTTTATTATTTTGAATAATTTTTCTTATTAATATACATTTAACTTCAAACATTTTTGTTTAATAGTTTCGTTTATATAAATTATAAATTAAAAACGTATCAAAAATTCAATAAGATGCAAATACATATTGAAAATTATTTATAATCTAAAAATGAAATTGTGCGAGATATTGTTGTACAGCATAAAATAAAATTGATTTTAGTTGTGCATATATATAATAATTATTTTATACTAATCAGCAAATGTTCTGTAACATGAAACTGTACAAAAATTTTATTTCACCTGTAAATTTATATTATAATAGTATATTAATTTTATAAATATAATTAACGTTTTAATCATTTTTATTATTATTAGAATAAAATATTTGTGAAAATATAACTTTAATATTGATTGATATTATGTAGAAAACGCCGATATATATCTTATTAATTATATATAATAATACAGAACATTATATAAAACATTTTAAAATTATGGTAGTTATATATAAGAATATCTCAGATTTATATATAATAATGTATAAAGCAAAAAAAATATAAAATAATGTCAATTGTGTAAGTGTGTAAAATAAAGATGAGTAATAAGTCATGATAAGTCAATTGGTCGATATTTACCAATTTGTTGTAAATTGATTATAACCCAACCATCCTCTTCTATTGAAAATGAAATAACATCATCTTGTGATTTGCATAGCGCGCGGTGATCAAGACTGTTAAAATCGGGAACCGTCTGAATAGTATAAGTTACAGGTAAGCAATCAATTTTTAATGTGTCGGGATTTTGTATCGATAAATATATTTTCGTCTTTCCCAAAAGACCATAATTTCGTTCTACTTTGATGAGAGGACAATGCTCTTCTAAAGTCCAATTTGCCATTGTTTGTAATGATAATTGAAGTTGATCTAGCTTATTTGCATCAGCAACAATTTCTTCCAAAAAAGTCATAAAACTTTGACGATGAAATTGGCTAAATTCACAAAGTATGTAAATTATGTAAAAATTACATTATAAATAAAATTAAAATTGTATTTATAATTTTAATATTTTAATATTATAAAAAATTTTAATAAATACTAAGAAGCAAAATATACATAATTGTACATATTTGTGTTTGTGTATTTATATATCTTATATTTATATTATAATAATATCATAATATTAAATTCAATTTAATAATTTTATTTAATTTGTTAGGCATTTCTTTATATTATTACTAGTAATGCTAATTTATCACTTATTTCGAGTACTTAATCACTTATTTCGAGTACTTAAATTACTGTATATCATTATTCAAATATTTGAAGTAAGTGATTAATTGGCGTTACTAGTGATAAATTTCTACAAGAGTTAATAATACAGATTATATTTGATCAAAGTATTGACAGATGAGTTATAAAATGATTAATAAAAGAAATAACAAAATAAATCAAATAGAAATAAAAACAAAACAAGAAATAATATACAAATATAATAAAGGAGATCGTTCTACGAAAGAAATAAAATAAAAATAAAGAAAGTAACGAAAAAGAGATTCACGTGTCAGATATATTTAAAATAAGATTAAAAAACAAACGTAGCACAAAATGCAATTCAAAAAAAGCAGATATTATAAAAATAATTATAGACGATATAAAGCAATAAACGAAATAATAAAAAGAATACAAATTAATTTAAAAATTATTTTGAAAAATAATAAATTATAATACGAAAATAAAACAACATAGAATATGTATATATAAAAAGTCATAAAACAATAATTTGTTTCAACAAAAGCGGTTTTCATAGTAAAAATACCGAAAGTAAAGGTAAATCTAGTAACAGATCTAGGAAAATAGCAGAATTGTAGAACTAAAAAAATATAATATGAAATAATGTCAGCAAAAACGAAATAATAAGAGACAATATATGAAATGTATATTATTATAAATTAGTTAAGATTTATATAGTTTTATTTTTTTATATTATATTCTATATTGTAATACTCACTTGCTATTTGCATATGATCGAATGCCTTTCCAAAATATTTCTTTGGTTACGGCGTGTTGCATCATGCGCAGTATACAGGGTGCTACAATTTACATCAAAATTATAAATTAGATATATTATAAATATATATTTTTTATAATTGTTACATGTAAAGTGATATCATATATTATAAGGCAAAATTATATTTATATATAAATTTAAAGTATAAGACAGGCGATAAGAGCCGATCGCGGAAGACAGTGCGTTATCCCAACGAAACTCAATTTTTTCGTTAGGATTAAATATCTGTGCACAAGGCACCAAATTTTACTTGGTCAATGCCAAGATTTTAAAATATGAAATAATCTCATTTTTGAGATTTAATTCCAATAATCCTTTAACCCCCCTACGGAAATAAATAAATGCAAGAGAAAAATATAGATCCGAAAGTCGCTGAATCGGGAATCGAACCCGAGACCTTTCGCTTGTCGGGCGACTGCTCTTCCAATTGAGCTATTCAGATCCTTTCGATTCTATACTTTTCTCTGATATAAATAATAATGTAATATTAAAGGCGTTTGTTTATCAACATTATTATTTATATCAGAGAAAAGTATAGAATCGAAAGGATCTGAATAGCTCAGTTAAAAGAGCAGTCGCCCGGCAAGCGAAAGGTCTCGGGTTCGATTCCCGATTCTGCGACTTTCGGATCTATATTTTTCTCTCGCATTTATTTCTTTAGGGGGAATAGGGGATACATGGAATTAAAAATCTCTTGTAGAGATTATTCCAATTTTATATCTTGGCCGTGTCCAAGTAAAATTTGGTGCCTTGTGCACAGGTATTTAATCCTAACGAAAAAATTTAGTTTCGTTGGGATAACGCACTGTCTTCCGCGATCGGCTCTTATCGCCTGTCTTATACTTTAAATTGATATTTATATGACAGAGCCTTGTTAAACTCTTAACTTATATTTATATATATATACTTATATGTATATACTTTAAATATTAATTAAAAAATATACATAAATATGCACGTGTGTGTGTGTGCTTTTATAATCTTATTTTTTTAATAAAATTTAGATAAAGAATTAATTATCTTATAACTTTACAAATATTTTTATAATATTAATAGTTCAAAATTTACGCGGATTATTTAATTAAATTATGTTGTACCTCTGATGGATTGGCGAATTTTCAAGAAACTGTCATCTTGTAAAGTAGAATCCCACATACGATAATCATCAAAATAAAAAGAAGTATGTTGATTTTGAACAACAAATAAATGTATTATTCGATTATCTTGATACATCTAAAAAAAAAATAATAATTAATATATCAATATAACCGCTCTGAAAATACATGCATTAGAAAGAAATACTAATATCATTAGCGGTTTTTTTATGTTAAAAAGGAACACTTTCTCACTTTGAAAAACACATATGAGTATACAAATAAAATTATAAATTTTGTATAAATATAATTAATAAATATTACATACTTTTAAAATTATTATCTCATGATATATTATAACGCAGAGTTCTCTTTATCAAAATAAGTAAAATAAATATCGGATATAATAGTATCTGATTAATATATTTTATTTTAAATTTTATAAAAATCTGTATGTATAAGTATCGTCCGTCTCTCTGTCTGTCTGTCTGTCTGTCTGACCGCGAACTGCTTCCACATTTGTGGACTGATTTTCATCAAATTGGTACCAAAATTTCGCAAATTTTCCGGAAAGTGTGATAATGATGATTTTTTGTAAGTTTTACGCATCCACCCACGCAATCGCATATTTATGGACCGATTTTTTTTAAATTGGTATCAAAATGTTGCAAATTTTTTGGAGATAACGACAATTGGTGGTTTTCTCAAGTGTTACACCTCCACCCACACATTCACCCATGCGCATGCGCATTTATGGACCGATTTTCACGAAATTGGTACCAAAATGTTGCAAATATTTCTGAGAAGGCTACTGTGTGGTTCTTTTTAAGTTTTATTCCACGTATCCACACACGCATTCACATATTTATTCACCGATTTTCTCGAAATTGGCAACGCAAAATTTCGCATATTTTCGGGAATTGCTACTATGTGTTTTTTTTTAGTTTTACACTATTACATACGCATCCACCCACGCATACATACATTTATTGATTAATTTTCTCGAAATTAGATATCTATTTATATTTATATATACAAGTTGCAAATTTTTTGGGGAGTATGATGAGATGGTGTTTTTTTAATTTAAAAATATTTTTTAACATAGAGGAGTGTATGTTTCCGCGAAAAAATATTTTGGAGATTTCTATGTTAATGTGTTGTAATGTACCAAAATATTGAGAAATCACATTTAAAAAAAATTTATATGTAAAACTTCCACCCACGCACTCACACATATATTGATTTATTGTCGATACCAAAATCATGAAAAATGTTGGGGTGACGACGACAGACAGACGAACAAATGGACAGACAAATAGATATATATTAAATAAAGTATAACTAAATATTATATATCTTTGGGTTTGTAAAATAAAAAATTGTGTGAAAACTAGTAAGAGCGGAATCAGTGTTGAGTGAAGGCTTTGAGGCCCGCGTAAAGAGCAAACCAAAAAGCTAGTATAATAATATCAGATAAAGTGATGTTAAAATATAAAGAAAGTTTTCATATCTTACATTATATTTATATAAATGTAAATATTTGAAAAAGTATTTTTAAAAAATAGTTTAATATTGTATACATATGTATATATTGTTAAAAAGAATGTATACATTTTGTAAAAAGAATTTGATATATGAAATTCTTGTTATATAAATGCTTAAGTATGTTAGCGTGTTTGAAAAAGTGGGAGGTGATAGCGTTGAAAATATTTAGAATAACCTCATTGACAGTATTCGTTGCAAGCAATGTAGTAAGACCTTTATTGAACCAAAAAGCCGATCGAAACGGATTGTTCAAATTATAAAACCATTGCTGTATCACTTTATGTCCTACTAATCTAGTTACTTCAATTTTGTGAACAACAGGATACAAATTTTTATCGTAAACAATATCCATTTCGCTGAAAGTAATATTTAAATGTTAGACTGAGAACTTATATACAAAATAAAATTTCATTTACCAAATTGGTATTGTAAATCGTAACAAATAATATTTTTTGTAATTTTAATTTAAGTATAAAACAATGATTTTGTGTTAATGCGTAAATCATTGATGAAGTACTTTAGTTTTAATAAATAAAAAAATGTTATTTCTTTTATAGCTTTATTACAATTTTAAAATTTACCTTAGGGGATACGATATAGCATAAAAATTTTTATCTTTATGTATGTATATATTACAACAATAAACTACAACATTTTGAATTATAATACGAATAAATTTAATTTTTACTATTTAAAATTGTTGTTTTCACAATATCTTATATTTTTGCACGTTTACAGAAACAAAAGATATACCTACATATTTTTCCATTTTATAATTTTGCATACTAATATATAATTTTACTTTTAATGTAATTTTTAGTACTTGTACTCACTTATAAAAAACAAGTCCGAAAACTATAATGCCATTATCAGGGAAATTTGGCATTACAACATGAGTCACTTTCGAAATATTGTTCGAATGTTGTTTCCATGTATTTTTGAACAAAAACGTGATTTCTTCAGCTACATTTTTTGCAAATTCCATGTGAAATACAGATTCGTTTCTGCACCACATTTTAATGTTTTGAGTATAATTATCAACACATGATAGGTAATTGGATACAATTATTGTTGCAAGATACGGCGACATTGCAGGTGTGGTATGGAAGCGTTTCAATAATATATTGTGCTTGTTTTTTTCTGTATTTTGCAATGGCATATTTGACAAAGCCGTGCATTGATTACATCCTATAGATATGTTAAAGGTTGCTCCTAAGAATAAATACTGTTGATCCCAACACGATGACATTTGTCGGGTGCCTATTATATGCAAATGAGTAGCAGCTACGAAACTATACATTTCAAAGAACATAAATTAATGAAACATTTTTAGCAAACATCAAAATGTTGGAATTTAAAAATGTTTAAATGTAATATATAATTATATGTACTAAACATAAAGAATAATCGTCTTTATATTTAAATTTCATAATATATAATAATTTTTGAAACATTTAATACAAAAATAATATATATTAATTACAAGGTTGCATGTAATTGCACATTGCACATTGATTTTAATTAACATATATTATTTACTTACGCAGTTTTTTTTTTTACTTCGAAAATTCTAAAGACTTCATCAGTAAAACCAAAATATTTAATATATAAAGTGTAATTTCCTGGTAATAACTTATCCTTAAAAGAAAGGTCAATTATGTCTTCTTGAATATCATATGTCGGTTTATAAACTGTATACTTATTATTCTCATGATGTTTTTCTAGATTTTTAATTAAAACTATATTTTCAAAATATAATTTTTCTGAATTTATGTTGTTAATTAATATATTTTGCGTTTGGTTAAGAATGCTTATGCTAATATTGTATTCTCCATAAAAAATGTATTTTTCAATATATGATATAAACTTGATATCGTAATGATTTGATTTTATATATTTTGATGGTTGATAGCATAAAGACGATTGATTAAGAGTAGAAGCCGTTCCAACGATATACATTATTCCGCTAATTAATAGTAGAAATATCATCGTGTCGAATAATTTATTTTAGGTCTGCAAAACACACTGTAAGCAAAAGACAAATAGAGAACTTAAATATAGTATTGATGTGTTTTTTAAATCACTAGACGACACAAGAGCGCGCTTGGCGCACACTATTGATATTATTTCTATTATTTATTTTACATATGTCAAATTGTTAATTTTTGCGATGACAGTTGCTTGATGCTATAAAAATGATCATAATTTTAATTAGCCAAATTACTATTTTGATTTCTATTTTGTATATATACTGATAGTAGAATACTAATACGTTTGAGAAATACAACTTAATAATAAGTAAAAATTAAATTTTAATAATTTTTAATTTTAATATATTTGAAAAGATAATTAATTTTTACGACCATTACTGGCTAATAAATATTTAATAATCACTACCCAACGTTTCGACCATAAATTTTGGTCCTTCTCAAGTGTACTTAAAATTAAAAACTGTGAACATATTATTCGAATGAAACTTCTTGTCGAATCGTGATAAAATAATAACCAAGGATTATACAACCTTGAATATATTGACATTACAAGTAAGTATTAAAAACACACAGATATTTTTATAAATAATAAAAGCACGAGAAATTTTGGAAACAGAATTTTAATAATCTAGTAATAAAGAAACAATTAAAAGTGTCTATTATAATATTTATTATCTGTTAGTTGCAGTATTTTTTAGTTTCAAAAATTATTTATTTGACATCAAACTCTTGTGGGTTCAAGATTATTTCAACTGTGGCGATAAAATTTATTTTATATTTCAATTTTATTTTAAAATATTAAATCGAATTGAGAACGAAAGTCGGCGATCGAATATATGTATATATATGACAACGAGCGAAACAATCATAATGAACAGGTAAAGGCAAAGTATCAAAACAAGCAAAATATAACAACGGACAGCTTAATCGATATAGGCATAGATGACCGGAGAATCGATAATTTGTCACTCGCTGAAGAAAGGACAAATAGAATTATATCTCGCAAGCAAAAGTTATACCTCGTGGTTATTGCAAGTCATTTATATAATATTTTAATTGTAGAATTAAAGTTAATAACAATAATATAACGTCTCTAAATTTATTTCAACATTTCAGCTAATAAAACTAATAATTCGCCAAACAACATACAATTCGTAAACTATTATATGATCGATATTATTTTAAATTATCTTAGGATTAATATTTACAAATAATTTTAAATAAAACTATTTTCTTTATTCTTATACATATGTTGGAAATTCTATAAAATTCCGCCCTACCGTATAATTAAATTTTCTTGCATTTGTAAACACATGTTTTATATGTATGAAAGTTCTTCTGACTTACCGAATAATTCGAAGCAGAATGTTAATTGAAAAACTATATATCGTTTTAAAAATGAACTGCAGCAAATTAATGCTTTAGAAATATGCAATGTTGGAAGAATATAATATATTCACACACTTTATTAAATGTTTATTTTTACGGCGACGTGGTTCGAAAGGCCACGAAAGACTGTCTGATACTCTCGACGTGTCTTCATGCTAAATATGATGTGTTAAATCAACAAAACTTCTAAGGTCGTTATATATATATATATATATATATATATATATATATATATATATATATATATATTTAGGTGTATGGCGGCATTTGTATGTAACGGTTGATTTAATTTAGCACATATAACTTTTGCCCAATTAATCAAATAATTATGCATTAATTATACACATTTATATGACTTATTTCAACAAACATTTTTGCTAATAATATTGTGTAATTTCTCGTCATATACTCATCCTTCGATAATTTGATCTTAATAATTCAATTAGTATAAATATGTCATTATTTAATTTAAATGTATGCAATTGCACATTTCTATAAATTACAATTTTTTTAAATCAATGGAATATTTTTTTTATACCAATCAATTTATTCACATTGTTTTTTGTAGACGTTTATTTAGATAAAATAATATTGCAAGATAAATACATTACAAAATGTTTCATATTTGTGTCAGAAAGAAACATAAAACGTTTAAAAAATAATTATTACTATCAAATCTCAACAATGTTCCATCTGAAATAAGACCATATACTTACGACGCGACTCGTTTTTTTCAAATTCTATAAATATTTTATAAAGTATATTTTTCGAAAGAAAAACCTTGGTTCTGAAATTACAACAATACTTAATTTAAAACGGGACACTTTATATTTTTTTGTTAGAAATATACATTTAATTATACATGTCTTTATGCACAATACTGTGTCTTTATACTGTACCTACTCCTGTATGTATAAGTATATAATATAAAATTGTAAATATTATAATCGATTCTTTATTAATCGCGATATGTGCTATGTTTTCGTCTTTTTATATCAATTTTATTTAATTTTAAAATTTTAATACTTTGATTGTTTGTTACATCGTACTTTATGCGCCAAACTATAAAGTTTTATAACTGATAAAATTATTATCTTTATATAACATTTTTGTAAAAAGTTAATACAACATGAATTTCCAATTATTAATGACAGTCACTAGTATTTAAATAGAAGTTTTTGAAAATATTTTTAAAATTTTATTTTACTTTTTTTTAAATTATATATATACTAAATAAACAGACTGTGAGTATAAAGCCAAAATAAAATACAATTTTAAATATAAATCGTGACTTTTCGATCTCAATATTCTTTTATAATAAAAATGATTTTATAATAAAATTATGATAAAAATATGTGGAAATTATAACATTTTTAGTTTTAAGGCATTTTATTCGATAAATTTTTATGGTTTAAAAATTATTTCAATATTACGAATCTTGAATTAATTATACGTAAATATAAGCGTATATTACATAGTAGCTCTCTTTTCATATTCTAATCAATTAGCTATAGAAAGATTTTAAGAAATTTTAAATTTTCCGATTTCAGTGTAACGGATTTCTATCTTTTTCGAATTTGTTGTTCGTGTTGCAACACCGTTGTGTACAAATTTTATTTTGCTAAAAGAGATTTCACATTTATCATTGCCAATAGTAAGAAACAATAAATAATGCAGAAGCAAACGAAATAATAAGATAAGTTTTTAATATTAAAATTCATCGACACACACATATATATATAACTAATAATAAATTTTTATAATATTTAAATAATAAATTGTTATATATATATATATATATATATATATATAACAATTCATTCATCATCAATTTATAATCAATATATAACAATTTATTCATCATCAATTTATAATCAATATATAATCTAAAATGAATAGATAATGCACACACACAATTTAGGTGCACTTATCATTTAGCAAGTTTTATTTATATATTTATACTATACATATTTATACATTTATATTATATTATTATATCTAACAGTAAAATTTATTGTAATATAATATGGCTACAATTCTGTTACTAAGCAGGTAATAATATATAGTTTAACTACTTCAAACAAGATCGCAAAAAAATGAAAATCTTGATAAATGCAGTCTTATAGTTTTGTAAATATAAAGGCATCGGATAGTAATACATCTAAATAAACAATATTTAAAGCAGTATAAAAATAGTACATGCAATATAAAAAAATTATTCATATAAAGTACGTCCTCGTATAAAAAAACTGCAATTTTTTTTCATCCACCGATTAGAAGAAAATACTTGCAGAATCCTGTCTCTGCTTCTCGATTTGTCCATTGCGTATATCAACCTGGTTTGTTATTCGTTTAATTAATTCATTCTTATGTATCACACGGTCACTCATCTAAAACAAATCGTTTCATTAGCTATAATATAATTAGATAAATATAGTAATTTCATTCCGCATTATGCAAATCTTAATATATATAAACAAAGATTGTCATGATAAAATCAACATACTGATTATATAACAAATAAACAAATATAAAAATAATATTCAGAAATTAATAAGATAAAACAATATTTCATTTTCTTTCGCTTTTTATAATAATATACATATATTAAATTTACTTCTTTTATTCGATGTCTTTTAAATTGATCTTCTGTGTTCGCTTCAATTACGTTAGCTTCTACAATACTTTCAGAGTGTCTCTTTATTGACTAAAATGTATAATTTTAATACCATTATTAATAAACAACGTTATGGTAACATTATAAAAATTATTTTGAACATTAAATAATAATTATTAATATCGCATTATTATCATATTTTGTATACATATTTAAATATGTAAAATTATTACCTTAGCTACATTTTTGGTATATACGTTATTAATCATAATAATTAATGCTGCAATTATATTAACATGTCTAAAAACAAAAAAAAACAGATGTATATATTATACATATCATAAACTTTTATACAAAATATTTATAAAAATATGTCACTTTACTTTGGTTTTATTTCGTTAAAATTATCTAATAAATACGTCAGTATAATTGGATTCTTTGCATGCTTCGTAATAAAATGTAAGAAAGTGTTAGCGAGAAATTGATCTTCCTGTTTTGTATAGTTGTTGTACTGTTTAAAATTAAAATAGTCCTTGATTAAATTAGTATCGTTAATGCAAGCTAAGTATTCTGAAAATTTCAAGTCAGTTTTTATCAATCCTATGATATACACTGATCTAAAAGTGGTTTCATTTCTCGTAGTTGTCATCAAACCTCTACAATATGTCCATGCCGTCCACCATGGCAAAAGCCTAAAATATAAATAGAATTTAATTTTCTTATTAATAAGATTAGCGTGTAAACTCATTTGAACATTATAGGAGATATCTACAAAGAAATTTGATTGAGGAAAACTAAAAATATGTAACATAATTTACCTGTGTTTTATAGGATCTTGGAGATGATGTTTTAATTTATTGTTGGCTTTTTCATACAATTGATTTCACCGAGAAAACATGCCCATTTTGCAGCTTCTTGTCGCAAACATATTCTAAATTCGTCTATATCATGAATTTCTTCATATTCAATTCTTCCAAGTACATTGTTTAACATATTTCTTATTTTTTTCTAAAAATAGTATATATATTTCTTTGTTAGTAAGTTTATAATTATAGTTTATTGACAAAGATTTTCAGCACCCAGCTATATAACAAGGTTATATATTATTATTATTGAAAATCATACACTTTGAGGACTGTTTTTTGCGTGTGTGATTATTTAAACTGAAATGTTTGCACATTTATTTGCGACACAATAATATGTAAAATTTTATCGTTGCTGGATATATTTTTAAGTACTTATATTATTTGTCATAAATGAGGGTATATACAAATATTTAAAATGTAATACTTTTATTGAAATTTATTAATATTTACCGCAAAATTTTTTGTTTTTTTTCTTCCCCTGGAAAAGTACTAAACATGTATTCCAGAGCTTTAAACATAGGATACCATGCGATATAATTTTCTTCTCGAAACAAATACGATGTGATATTCCAGAATATAGAGGCGTTGAGGTGACCTGTTATCACTAAATGAAATGCATCATCGATAATTTGGGCACGATTAAGAACATGAATTGTCGTAAAATTATCATAGGATAGATAATTTGAAATTCTTTGCCAATTCTCATCATCATAATTAACACGATAATATCCTGTCAAATAATAAATTTTAACAATTTTTATTATTTTGAATAATTTTATAATTAATATTCTTATTTTCAAAGATTTTCGTTTAATATTTTTATATATATGAATTATCATTTAAAACCGTATCAAAAATTTTATAAAATACAAATACATATTAAAAATTAATTATAAATTAAAAATAAAATTATGCTACATATTTTTGTGTAGCATAAAATAAAATTGATTCTAGTTGTACATAAATAATAATTATTTTATACAAATCAGTAAAATTTCTGTAACATGAAACTGTACAAAAATTTTATTCCTGTATACTTATATTAGTATACTAATTTTATAAATATAGTTAACTTTTTAATAATTTTTACTATTATTAGAATAAATAATTATTATTTTATACAAATCAGTAAAATTTCTGTAACATAAAACTACAAAATTTTATTTTACCTGTATACTTATATTAGTATACTAATTTTATAAATATAGTTAACTTTTTAATAATTTTTACTATTATTAGAATAAAATATTTGTAAAAATATAACTTTAATATTGATATTACGTAGAAAACGCCCATAATATATCTTATTAATTATATATAATAATACAGAACACAGAACATTACACAAAGCATTTTAAAACTATTGTAGTTATATATAATGAATATATAATGAATATCTCAGATTTTTATATAATAATGTATAAAACAGAAAAAATATAAAATAATGTCAATTGTGTGTGTAAAATAAAGACGAGTAATAAGTCATAATAATAAGTTAATTGGTCGATAATTACCAATTTGTTGTATATTGAATATTATCCAACCATCCTCAAGAAGTGATATTAAATCCCATGATTTGCATAGCCAGTAGTGAGTAAAATTGTTAAAATTGGGATACGTCTGGGTCGTAAAAGTTACAGGAATGCAATCAATTTGTAATGTGTCGTAATTTTGTATCGATACATGTACATCGATCCAAGGACCACCATAATTTCGTACTACTTTGATGAGAGGACAATGCTCTTCCAAAGTCCAATATTTCATTGTTTGTAATGATATTTCAATATCTACATTTTTTGCATCAGCAACAACTTTTTCAAAAAAGTCATAAAACTTTGACGATGAAATTGGCTAAATTCACAAAGTATGTAAATTATGTAAAGAAAACATTATAAATATGTTAAAATTGCATGTATAATTTTAATATTAAAAAAAATTTAGTAAATACTAAGAAGCAAAATATAATTGCACTTCTATTTATATATTTATATGTGGCGATAAATGCCACAAGCATATAAAATATATACAAAATAAAAATTAAAATTACAAGCAACGTGTGTCAAGGATATCGCGACCGGTAACACAAAACAATAAATAAATAAACAAGCGACTAACATGACGAAGATAAATTTCGATTTTCGAACATAATAAAAAGCGAGAGTACCTCAAAATAAAGATAGAGTCTAATCACCTAAAAATAAAAATAAGGTCGAAGAATGATGGAGAGAAGCGAGACAATGCGCGGCCTCGAGTCCAAAGAGAATTTGACTTGCGTTCGCGTAACACGTTTTGTTTCCCGGCGAAAAGTAAAAGTTTGTATCAGGTCTTTTGTGACACGAATAAAATGAAGTAAGATACATTATACTGTGCAACCCAAATTATAATATTCCGGATAAATATTTTCACCCGATCCGCGATAACGGCGAAACATAATTGACGAACAAGAACGCACCCAAATATATATCTTATATTTATATGATGATAATAACATATATAATATTGAAAAAATTTAATAATTTTATTTGATTTGTTAGGTATTAATAATACAGATTATATTTGATCAAGATATTGAAAGAGTTATAAAATGATTAATAAAAGAAATAACAAAACAAATAAATTGAAGATAAAGAAAGCACAAAAATGAAAAACATATAATAAACAAAATCGTTCTACGAAAAAAATGAAATAAAATAAAGAAAGCAATGCAAAGAGATATGTGTTAGATATATTTAAAATAAGATTAAAAACGAATGTAGCACAAAATTCAATAAAAAGAACACATAAAAATAATACACGATAGAAAAAAATAAGGAAATAATAAAAAGAATAAAAATTAATTAAAAAATTATTTTGAAAAATAGTAAATTTTTAAACAAAAATATAAAACAACAATGAATATGTATATATATATATATATGAAAAAGTGACAAAACAACAATTTATTTCAACAAAAGAGATTTTCATAGTAAAAGTAAATATATAATAGCAGATCTAGGAAAATAGTGGAATTGCAAAACTAAACAAAAACGATATGAAATAATGAAAATAATATGAAATAATATCAGAAGAAGCGAAATAATAAAGGACATTATATAAATTTATATAAATTTGTATGATTATAAATTATTTAAGATTTATATAATTTTATTGTAGGAATAAATTAATAAAAATCTACGCGTTATATTATATTTTAAATTGTAACATATATTTTCCGCTGTCGATCGTTTATCGTTCTCAGGATTTTGTGCCTTAGGACAACTTCGATATAATAAAAGACGCAAACAAAGCAGTGTGAGTTAGCTCGCTCTGTTTTAAAAAGATAAATAAGAAAACGAAAATAACTGCGATTGCCGTGACGAACTTGTCGGACAAAGTGATAACCGAAAATTAAAAGAGGCTTCTAGAAACATAAACAAGAATCTAAATACAACCGATTAACCGCCGCGGACAGATTTGCTCGCTCGATTCTTCGACGATACACATCGACTGATTGTATAATAAAGTATTATTTAACTTCTGTACGTGTGTTATATCAAAATCTAAATTATTACGCTACCGTTCACGTATTCCTTAATTTTTTATATTATATTCTGTATTGTCTTACTCACGTGCTATTTGTATATGAGAGAACGTTTTTCCAAAATATTTCTTCGGTAAAGGCGTATTGCATCATGCGCAGTATAAAGGGTCCTACAATATACATCAAAATTATATATAATTTAGATATATTCTAAATATATATTTATTATAACGGTTATATGTAAATATAGTGATATTAAAAATAAATTTATTTATTTTTAAGTTTTTATTGATTTTAAAAGTAAATTTTTTGTTATTTTTACGAAGATACAAAATATTAAAAGAACCATACAATTAATATCCTCTACACACATGCGCGATTATTACCAGACCCTTTGTATATATATATATACGTATATGTATATACCTAAAATTAATTATAGAATGTACATAAATATGCGCGCGTGTGTGTGTACTCTAATAACATTATTTTTGTAATAAAATCTAGATAAAGAATTAATTATCTTATAATTTTAAACGTATTTTATAATATTAATAGTACAAAATTTACGCAGATTATTTTATTATATTACGTTATATACCTCTGATAGATTTGCGAATTTTCAATAAATTGTCATCTTCTGAAGTAAAATCCACATACGATAATCATCATCCAAATAAAAAGAAGTATTTGATTTTGAACAACAAATAAATTTATTATTCGATTATCTGGATAAATCTGTAAAACAAATATTATTAATATATCGATATAACCGCTTTGAAAATACTTGCATTAGAAATAAATACTAATATCATGAGCGGTTCTTCTATGTTAAAAAAGAACACATTCTTTTTTTTATTTTGAAATACACATACGAATAAATATAATAATAAAATCTAAATATTTAAAAAATCAGATAAAGTGGTGGTGTTCAAAAAAAACTTTTTTCATACTTTACATTCTTCACATTATATCTATATGAATGTAAATATTTAAGAAATTATTTTTAAAAAACAGTTCAATATTGTATATACCATATATGTATTATTGCTAAATGTTTTAAAATAATTTAGCAAAAATTTATGCATTTTATAAAAAAAATTTGATATACGAAAATCTTGCTATATAAATGCTTAAGTATGTTATCGTTTCCGAGAAAGTAAGAGCGTGATAGCGTTGAAAATATTTAGAATAACCTCATTGACAGCATACGTTGCAAGCAATGTAGTAAGAGCTTTTTCAAACCAAGAAGCCGATCGAAACGGATTGTTCAGATTATAAAAAAATTGCTGTGTCACTCTATGTCCTACTAATTGAGCTACTTTGATTTTCTGAGCAACAGGATATAAATTTTCATCGAAGATGATATCGTTTTCGCTGAAAGTTATATTTAAATGTCAAGACTAAGAACTTTTATATAAAATAAGATATTATTTTTGCTTCAATTTTTTAATTTTATTGTTAGATGTACGATTTACAAACCCATGGATATAATTTAGTAAATCAGTATTGTAAATCGTACCAAATAATATTTTTTGTAATTTTAATTTAAGTATCAAACAATGATTTTTGTGTTAAGCATATATAATCGATGAAAACTATAGTTTTAAATGAATAAAGTAATGTCATTCCTTTTATAACTTTATTTACATTTTTAACATTTATCTTAGTGCATACGATAGAGCGTAAAAAATTTTCCCCTTTATGTAAGTAGTATATTAAAACAATAAATCTCAACTTTTTGAATTATAATACGAATAAACTTAATTCTTACAACTTAAAATTGTTTGCTTTCACAATTTCTTATATTTTTGAACGTATACAAACCAAAAAATATACATGTTTTTAAGTTTTATAATTTTGTATATATTATTATAATTTCATTTTTAATGTAATTTTAAGCACTTGTACTCACTTATACAAACAAGTCCGAAAACTATTATGCCATTATCAGGGAAATTTGGAATTGCAACATGAGTATCCTTCGAAATATTGTTCGAACGTTGTTTAATTTTATAGAACAACGTTATATTTTCAGCTACATTCTTTGCAAATTCCATGTGAAATACTATTCGTTTCGGCACCACATTTGAATATTTTGAGTATTATTATCAACACGTGATAAGTAATTGGACACATTATTTTGCAAGATACGGCGACATTGCAGGTGTGGTATCAAAGTGTGTCCATAACATATTGTGCTTATTTATTTCCATATTTCGCAATGGCATATTGACAAAGCCGTGCATTGATTACATCCTATAGATATGTTAAAGGTTGCTTCTAACAATAAATTCTGTTGACCCCAACATGAAGACAATTGTCGAGCGCCTATTATATGGAAATGAGTAACATCTACCAAACTATATATTTGAAAGAACATAAATTAATGAAACATTTTTAGCAAGCAAAAAATATTGGGATTTAAAAATAGTATAAATGTAATATGTAATATAATGTACTAAAAATAAAGAATAATCGTCTTTATATTTAAATTTTATAATATATAATAATTTTAAACATTTAATACATAAATAATATATATTAATTATAAGGTTTTATGTAATTGCATATTGTATTTTTTTAATAAACATATATATATATATATATATTATTTACTTACGCATTTTTTCTTTCACGTTGAAAATTCTAAAAACTTCATCAGCAATGCCATGATATTTTATATTTAAAGGTAATTTCCTGGTGATAACTCATGCGAAAACCGAATAAAATTATTTCTTCTTTAATATTGTGTGTCCATTCATAAACTGCATCTTTATAATATTGTTCTACATTTTTAAATAAAAGTAGATTTTTAATATATAAATTTTCTGAATGTAAAAATATGTCTTTTGTTTTGTTAAGAATGCTTATGCTGATATTGTATTCTCCATAGAAAATATGTCCTTCAATATATGATGTAAGCTTGATATCGTAATGGATTGGTTTTATATATTCTGATGGTTGATAGCATAAAAATGATTCATTAAGAACAAAAGCCGTCTCAGCGATAAACATTAGTCCGCTACTTAATAATAGTTTTAGAAATATCATGTCGGAAAAAGAATATTAATTTTAGATCTGTAATGCACACTGTAAACAAAAGATAAATAAAGAAATTAAATATAGTTTTTATGTTTTTTTGAATCATCAGACGACACAAAAGCGCGCTTCACGGGCGCTTTTGATATTATTTCAATTATTAATTTTATAATTGTCAAATTGTTAATTTTAGCGATGACAGATGCTTGATGGTATGAATATGATCATAATTTTAATTCGCCGAATTTCAATTATATACATAATTTTAATTCGCCGAATTTCTATTTTGACACTAATTTTAATATATATCGTATACATACTATTTTATTATCTCTTATATATTTTTTTCTTACTGGTTTAAATTAATCGAATATATCGAATTACGATTACGCGCGAAGTTATATCATTCTTTAATAAAAAAACCTTAAATATTGCAATGCAATAAAATTATTACTGGAATGCATGCATAGAAATATTTCAATGATTATGTGATTCATAAAAATTAATATATACATTTTAAAACAGAAAACAAATATATAATTTTTTACAAGAATCTTTTGATCAAAATATCAGCCTTCCCAATAGATTTGCGCGCTTTTACGCGTCCGCTACACACACGGATCGTGCGAAACTGATCACATGATTAGATTAATATACCCACACATTCATTACGGTGCGCGCCTCGCACGAGACTGATTCTCATACGGGGTTACGGGATTCCAAAAGCGTACATAAAAGATTTTTGTACAAAATTTTATTTCTTTGTTCGTATTTTCCGTTAAAGATTTATATAATTTCTACTTTGCATAATTATTAATTAATATATTTTATGTCTTTATTGGAAGTTGCAAAGAATTTAATTAAATTTGGTAACGTATCTTGCGTTCTTTGCGTAGAAATTTTGAGATTTATATCAAGAATAATATAACTTCGCTTTGCTTACATTCGGTTCACACGTGTTTTAAATATAATTTTTATTTTTATTTTACAAACGACTGCCAAACTATTAACTTTCACGATGTCAAACAGTTTATTTATGCTATTAATAAACGCACAATGTTAATCGAGAGAACTAATCAGCATCTTACGGAAATTGCAGCAACAATGTTTGCGATAATTGATTTTGCATGCCTCTTTTAGAAGAGAATTCTCGTAATTAACAAGAAAATAATAACAAAAAGTATTAAAATTTTATTAAAAGACATCCTATAATTAATTAGATATTATATATGGTAAGAAACAATGTGCAAATATCTATTTGCACAATTATTTTTTCTAACGTAAGTATATATATAATATATATATATATATAACACCGAGTGAAACAATCATAAGGAACAAATAACGAAAGGCAAAGCATTAAAACAAACAAATTATAACAACGGACAGTTTAATCGATATAAACATAGGTGACCGGAAAATCGATAATTTGTCACTCAGCGAACTCGCTGAAGAAAGGACAAATAGAATTATATTGCAAGTCATTTATATAATATTTTAAATGCAGAATTAAAGTGAATAACGATAATAACGTCTCTAAATTTATTACAACATTTCAGCTAATAAAACTAATAATTCGCCAAACAACATACAATTCGTAAATATTATACGATCATATTATTTTAAATTATCTCTGGATTAAAATTTACAAATAATTTTAAATAAACTATTCTCTTTATTCTTATACATATGTTGGAAATTCTATAAAATTCCGTCCTATCGTATAATTAAATTTTTGGCATTTGTAGACACATGTTTTATATGTATGAAAGTTCTTCTGACTTACCGAATATTTCGAAACAGAATGTTAATTGGAAAATTATATATTGTTTTAAAAATGAACTACAGCAAATAATGCTTTAGAAGTATTTAATGTTGGAAGAATATAATATATTCACACACTTTATTAAAAGTATTATATCTTCACCACCACGTTTTCGAAAGACCACGAAAGACTAACTGATTCTCTGTATGTGTCTTCATGATAAATTAATGTGTTTGGTCAACAAAATTTCTGAAGTCGTTATATGTATAATATTTCCATATATATTTGTGTGTGTGGGGCGACATTTTTGAGTAATTGTTGTTTTAATTGAGCACATTTA